TTCCTGCTTTCCCTCGTGTCCTTTTTCTGTTCTGGGGTGCTGCCTGGGAGAGCACGTGACATATGGGCATCTGTGTCCTTAGGCCCCTCTAGGCTCTGCCAATTTCTCAGGCTTCCCTTGTTTTTGATGACCTCGACCGTTTTGAGGAGAACTAGCCACGTAGTTTGTAGACTGTCCCTCAATTTGAATTTGTCTGGTGTTTTCCTCATGAAACTTAGACTGGAGTTAACAGGTTTGGGGAAGATGACAAGAAAAGTATTCTCATCCACCCTACCAGGGTCCATACCGTCAGCATGACTTACCCTACTTGATGCGGAGCTCGATCGCCTGGCCAAGGTCATGGTGATGGGTTTCTCCAGTGCACTCAGTTTCCTGTCTCTTCTTTCCATACTGTTCTCTTTGGAAGGATGTCACTTTGTGCAGCCATGCTCTAGAAGGGGGTAATTATGCTCCACCTCCGTGAAGGTAGATTATTTACCCAAGTTAAATGGAATTCTTCATAGTAGATTTGTCTCTTCTCCTCTATTTATTTTTTTATTTGATTGTTTATTTCAGTATGGGCTGATGAATATTTATTTATATTTTGAGTTATAATCTAACACTACTTTATTCATTTTCTTGCTCAGATTTTTCCAACTGTGGCCATTGGAGCTCTTTCAGTTGGCTCCTGTATCCCTTTGACATACCCCCATCTTTGTGGGTGATTTTATTTTGTTTTTTTCTTTTTTTTTAGTACTTTTCTTGTTTCCTGACATTACAAAATGCTCTGGGTTCATCTTATATATTTCCTGCCCCAGGCCAAGAGTAACTGTATCTCAAGGAGCCCTGGTTCCTTTTATTGGAGAATGATATTAGAAACCAAGATCTGGACAGTAAGAGTGTTTCTTACTGCTGGTGCATCCTTATTTTTAGGCCCTCATAGCTGACAGAGCGAGGAAATGTGTGTGTATATACTTACCTCTGTGTGTGTCCATATTTCTGTATGCAACCATCTGTATCTACACTTAGGTAAACATGAATTCATATTGATATCTCCAACTCTAATCTGTTGCTACATGGATCATACTAGCTTCCTCCCCCCTTTTTTTTTTTTT